TATATATATATATATATATATATATATATATATATATATATATATATATATATATATATATATATATATTTATATAGAACAACATTTCTACATGTAGGAAAATAATAATATATAGCAATAAAGCAAACAAACAAAAACAAAAAAAAATCCAAAACTATTTCACATCTACAGTTTAGAGTCTGACTGGCTACTGCTGCACTTTTTTCCAACAATTTCTATGAATTAAAAATATAGTAAATCAAATAGAAAATCTCAAGAATTATTAAAAAAAAAATCTAAATCTGTGAATTAAAAATTTGCTCAAACAGACATTTTTTACAGTGTACGCTGGTCATAGGCTCAAGGTACGCTGGAATGGTCAGCATTGAAGGAAGGGGATGGTGCGCCCCGTGTCGACAGGACCATTCATCGCTCAGCGGAGGCGCAGATTAAACCACCGCCCGGTGAAATGGAGATATAATAAAGTTGGAAAAAAATAAATTTTTACCGCATTGTGAATAAAAAAGAAGCTTCAAACTGAATAAACCTAATTCGACCTCTTTTATTATTATTATTTTTTAATAATTCAGGAAAAAAGCCGATGTCTTCGATTTCGGATAGAAAACTTACAGAGTTTGCAGCTGAATATTCAGTGATACAGCAGATGTCTCCTCCATCCAAGAACAATTCTTGAAAGTTGCGGACTTCTGGGCTGGCTAAGACGGCTGCAAGGAGATAGAATGCATAACAAAATCAAGAAAGGTAACTACTTATATATATAAATTAAATAAAATGTAAATATGTATAATAAAAAAAAAACGTTTTTCTTTACACGTGACAGGAAAGTATTGCATAAAGGTTATTATATAGGATAAAAACAAAAACGAATCGGGTTTTCATAAAAAAAAATAATAATAAAAATAATAATAACAATACACACCATATCAGTATTGTTGTTGTTTTGGATCATACCTGAAATCAGTCCAGAATCCCGTTCTGTATGGATGAGCTGAATCCTGGATGGAGCAGCAGTACCATGAGCCCCACTCCTGTGTTTGCCAGTGAGGGCTGCTGTGCTGCTGGCCAGGCTCTGCTACACGCAAGGTGAACGAGGGAACAGCAAAAAATAAATAAACGGAATAAAGGAACATCCATACTTTCGTTCCTTCTTTCTCTTTCCCTGTTATACCTTTTTCAGCCAACACCTTTTCTATTTCTTTCTCTCATCCAGTACCCATCTCTCCCTCTCTCTCTCTTACCCTCTCTCCAACATGACGTAACGCCAGCTTTGTTTATTTGCTTTTCTTATTGGAACGGACTGATAAGGATACAAAAGAGCGAATAGGGAATACTGGTATATAATCCCCTCCGACCCAATGAGTGTGATAGTACTGAGAGCAAAATGAATCTTTTTATTTTCTGAAACTTTTTTGGAAACAGTTGCGCAGAATAGACCTCCTCTGAATCTGCCTGACTGTTGCGTTTCCAGTGTTGCAGAATGCAGATTCTTGTTTGTGTTTTCGCGTATGGTGGGTTTCAGGGTGTTAGTAAACGGAGAAGTCACCAAATTCTCCCTGCGCATTCAGAGCTCCCGTCCCCCCTGCTGTCAGGAACATTCAGCGAGCTCTCGGATAAACACACAATTACGGCAGGTGAATAAACTTGTTTGGGGGGTGTTAATTACATGCTTAACGTAAACAAAAGCCATGTTAAAGAATGTGAATTACCGCTGGCTTTCCTCTCTCAAATCCCCCATTCAGGTTTTACATTTCACCATCTAGTCTCCCTCTTAGATTGGAGTGATTTCCGAATTGCCTGCGAGGGCAACTCTACAAATAGGGCTCTTCTGAAAAAAAAAAAAAAAAAAAGCCACACAAAACAAACAATATAATGCGAGTTTGGCTTAAGTTGTGATCAGCCAAATTAGTACACCCGGTCAGGTAAAGGGGGCTTTGCATATTCCGGAGTAGTCCTGCTAATACCAACACCCACAGCTAAGTGATGGGGTTGTGCATTACTGTGTGTGTGACATAGAGAGAGAGAAGAAGGGAGAGGGGTTATAGGCTAGAAGGTTAGTTTTAACACCAGCATGAAAATACCAGCCTTTACTTCCAGTCCACAGAGCTTTCCAATGGGGCCAATTCAAGTGCCAGTAGGAATTAGTCCTCCTGGGTTTTGTGCAGGACAGGTTTGATCCAACATGCTGCCC